CTCCTGCATCGACTGGGAAAAAGGCAGGCTCTCAACAGACTGAAACTTTTCTCTAGTGCTGCTTTTTCCACTTCTGGCAGTGCCTGGGGGAAACTGCTCCCAGCCACCTGCGTGAGGAGAGGACAGAAGTGCCTGTCTGCATGCTGAAAGGCGGCGGTAGAAATCTGCGCAGACAAGATGCTCTCCGCTGGCTTTCTGAGCTGCCCTTGGAGAGTGGAGCAAAGGCAGGGCTTGCCTGCAGGGTGTGTGGCATTTGCAAACCCCCCAGCTCACCCCTGTCAGCAGCCTTTTATGTAGGGTTGATGAGCATCACAAGCCTTCAAACCCTGTGAGTATGACTCCTCAGTTTCTCTGTGGTTTGACTCTTCTGTGCAAGGAGAATTCTTTTTTTTTTTGGCTTCTGTATGACGGATGGCAGGATTTCAGAAAATAGAAGGAAAATCAGATCTTTCCTTGAGTTTTTCTGTCCCATAGAGTTTAGCACCTCATAGGTCAAGGGTAGACTACTAGATTTTTGATTTTTGCTTATTTAGTTCCTAGAAATGGTAGTTGAAAGTATTGAAGAGTTGTGAATGAAACTGAAGGCTGAATTAAAGAAGTTTTAACAGAAAGACTGAGCGCCGAGAGAGAATAGAAACAATTTATTTGTGCCTTGTGCAACACTGGAACTGCTTATGACTGTGGAGTCCTAATACCTGTCACATATTCAAGCAGATGTTATGTGGGTAAGGTAACTTTCAGTGCTTTTGAAGTGAAGCCTCAGTCCTGTTGTACAGAAGATGTTAGAGTGGTCCAGCCTGCTCATTGATGCAGTGTTCACCTCTGTCAGATCACTCTTAGGCTACCACTACGTGCTTTCAAAATGAGTCGAAGTCCTAAGCTGCTCACGGAGGTGGTTGCAGCTAGGTTTGGAATTGGTGGAAAGCCTTTCCCTGGAATTTCCCATCTGGTAGTTAGAAGGGGACCAGCAGCCTGACTCTCCTTGTTTTCTCCGCAAGTAGATCAGGAAAGGGAGTAAGCTTGTTGCTGTGGCTGTCTGATTTCATCTCTGGTAGCCATAATAGACCTAAATGTCTACCTGTGAAAGCTTTACTTACTGCATTGCTATCTGTGAGCTTGTAATTGCTGTCATTGAAACTTAAACCTGAGATTAAATGAGATGCTGTGAAGTTCTGCTGTTTGTAATTATACTGCTTGTTGCATCCTTGATAGGGTGTTTGCTTTGAGACCTGGTTCTGGATTTGCTGCAGATGAAAACTGTCCTCAGTTTTACTTGGCTCCAGCCTTCGGTGTCTTTAACTTTGATAACTACTGTTATCGAAGCTGACTGTTACTGTTCTGTAGGTTCTTTGTAAGTTCAGGCTTTTAAAATACTTATCTATCTCCTAACAAAAAGCAGGGGCTACGAGAACTCACCTGCCATATCGCAGAGCAGCTTTGCTTGAAAATGAATGTGAGGACATTGCTTTATCTGTTCTGCAGTCAAAGTTTGCTGTGGTCTGACTAGAGTAGAAACATCTTTTCTACATGTTACGAGCTGATAGCTTTCATTTTATTCTTCTATTCGAGTTTCTCTTATTTCCTTTTTTGACTTCTGAGAGCAAATATGTTAGTGTAATGTAGGCATTGTGAACTTTTGATCCAAGAAACCTGACTAAAATATCTAAGCAGATTGCGTTTCTAGGTTATTTTGATTATTTTTCTATAATAAATAGAAGCTGAAAGCAAGTGAAGTGTAGTGAATGTAAACTTGCAAGCTTATTGCCTCTGCCTGCAGACCTTGTACTTCTTTCCGTATAAGCACTCTGCATGTTTCTTTAAGAGTGGATAAGCTTTTCATCAAATTAATGACTAATCCTTATCAAACAAGTGTTCATCCTACAATTAGGCGTTCCTGTTCTTTAATTGTATGATGTTTGGTGTACATACTAGTCATGAGTACATTTGGGAATGTAGGTTCTTAATTTTCTCTCACTGCTGGTAGCAGGAATTTGCTGTGAACAGGGCATTATATTCTGGTTGGATACCCGTTATAATTAAATTATCATCTTTGTCTATGTTCAGTGAACCTTTCTTTGAGTAACTTCCAAAAGAATGCACCTTTATGCTCGTTGAGAAAATCTGAACTCTGAAGAAAAAGGAGGAAGATGGAACAAGGTAAATAGTTTGAGGTCTGCTAGGCTTTCCGTGTAGGTTTGGCTAATGGGTTATGGTGAAAGCATAGTTGTTTTCTAATGCAGAACACAATAGCTTGCTTGTTTTCTTTTACTTTGGGCTGGAATCTCTTAATCCCCTCAGACTCAAGCATGAGTATCACATGATTTGGAGGTGTTTGGTTAGTGCACTTTGCTGCTGCGGAGCATCCCTGTACGTAACGGATGAGTAAATTTGGACTGCAGGGAGAAGCCCCATGGAAATTTTCAGTTTTGGAGCTTCATGTCGACATGTTTAATATTTTGTTGCTGGGTTGTGTTGTGGCAAAACCAAGGGGAAGCATCTGGTCAGACTTTCAAGTAAAGAAGGAGATCAGATTTCTGCTCTGAAACTGCTAGTTCATGATAAAAAGGACAACAACTTCAATATACACACAGTATATGTGTATGTTCAGTATACCGACAGATGCTCAAACCATGTTTTAGGGTGTTTGTATGGAAACTTCTTTGCGGGGGAACTGTGGTGGTACAGCTAATCATAGGTCCTGCTTTCAGAATCTGTGACCATATGGGACATCAGTGGATATATAGCTGTCTAATACTCATAAACCCTTTTTTAAAGTAGAAGGAATAATAAATATTCATTAACAGATAATTTCAGAAAATAGAAGCTTCTTGTATAGCTGCATATCAGTTCTGTGGGCTTTAGTAGCTGGAACCAAAATGTCTTCCACGTGTTGAACTGGAATTTTAGCTTTTAAATAGTAGGATGAATGCTGATACTTGGTGAGGGCAAGTGCTAAGTGCTGATCTAGTGAGAGGACTAGATGAGTAGGGTGTTGGGGTTCTCTAAAATAGAACAGGATTCCCTAAAATGCTGAAATATGATAATGAACTGAGGATTGAGTGATTTAGAAGATGCTGGTCTTGACTCTTGGCGCTGCTTTTGCAGAAGTCGGTATGTTAAGCACCAGGTTGGTGGTGTTTTGCTTGGATTGGTTTCAGTCACTATTCTACCAGCACCTGAAGCCTGCTTCTTCCCAAGCCATTTGACTCGCGTCGAAGGAAATGCAGAAATCGTTGGGAGCTCTGGTCCTGGTGGCTCTATACTTAGCTCATTACTCCAGACAAACTGTCTTTTGCTTCTCCAGTGTTGACTGGTAGGCTGGTTTAAGAGCTGCCTAGCTTTCAATTGCTAGGTCATTCTAACTCTTCTGCAATATTTTTGTTGCATAGGCACTTCTTCCCATGAACTCTTGAAAGACTGGCGATAAGGAAGAGTCTAAGGATGGGAATTCTGTAGTAATTCACTGAGGCGGGGGAAAAAACCCAAGGCCACACCTGCTGTTGTAATCTACTTGGAGTAGGAAGCAATCTTGCAACCTGCTTGATGTGGCGCTTGCCTGCAGCGGGTGGTTAGGTTCCCTGCGGTCCCTGCCCTGGCCCGTGCCTGAACTGGGTGGGTGTGGTGGTGTCCCTGCCGAGGGCTCAGCCCTGGGAAGCTATGGACAAGATTTTGCTTGATTTGACAAGTGTAAGATTAGTGTAACAAGGACAACTAGAGCTATTTCTTGCTTTCATTTTTTAAGACTAGTTTTTAATAAGCTGTTTGTGCAAGCTACAAGTTTAGGTGCTCCCATCCTTTCTGAGGGTCACACCCAGAGAGCAGTCCTATTAAAATTAATAGTGCGATTTCATCATTCCTTAGACTGCCATGCTCTCATTCAGCGCTGAGGTATGAAGACTTTTCTCTTCCTCTGGCGTAAGACAGCTTGATTCGTTCTGGTTGGGGAGGAGACAGTCTGGCAGCTCACTAGCGTTAAGTGGTGTGGTGCTGTGCCCTGTAGCTTATTTTTCTGAACATTACTATTTCAAGTTATTGTCCAACTTTCTAAACATCTTAGCAGTACGTACACCTGCCTGAGACTGGACCACTGCTCACACAGATGTGGTGATGGTCTGGCCAGCCCTTGCTGAATGCAGTTCCTTTACTGCTTCTATCATGCTGCTTGCTCCTAGACCCACGTTGTTTGGCGTTCCAATTGGAGAGCTACTAGGGCAAAGCCTCGTGTATTTGAACATACTGCAAGGACCCCAAAATTGCAATATGACTTAATCTGCCTTGTCTCCTTTCAATTTCTAAACATTTATAACTGCTAATGGTTTTTCTGGTTCCTCCAAGAAAACTCAGTTTTCAGTCTCCTCATAAACCATGTGAGAATCCTAGCAGACCCAGTGGTATACTGGTTAAGAAATAATTTTTCTAAAAGTACACTGCAGATTCAGTAACATTTGTTATTGATCTAGACTGTCTTGACTTACCGAAGGCAAGGAGGGTTAAGTTAAAACATGCCTTGTCAAAAGAAGTCAATCTTAATTGACTTGTGTCATGAAAAGGGCGAGAAGGGACTTAGAGTAATTCTTGCGCAAAAAACTTATTAGAAGGAAGTGGGTGGGCTGGGGAGAATCTAGTTAAGCTTACAGTTTAAAGAAAAGCTTAATGTCAAAAAAACCTTCTAAAAAATAATTTATGTGCTTAAACACAATTTTTTTATGCCGACTCTTGCCAAGACAATTAAAGAATTCCTGGAGCTGGTTTGAATTTCCGGGCTGGGTTTGGAGCGAGGTAGCTGCTTCTGCAGGTGCAGAGAATACTCAGGTCTGTTCAGGTAGGTTGGTGAGTTGGTGGTTTTGTTGCTGGAAGGGTTTTTAGGAGTCTGAAGATGTTGCTGTGAAGCACATTCGTGGTGCAGTTGCGGATGTAGCCAGCTGGGGTTTTTTTACTGCTTGTAAAAGGTCGGCTTTTGAACTTCATCCGTGAATTGATGAACAGTAAACTTTAAACCAGTGGTGTGGCATCTGTTTTCTAGAACTTCAAACCTCCTGTTTTTTTCTGGAAAATGTAGGAGGAAGAGTAGGGCCCGGGGGTGGGTTAGTGTTGTTAAAATCTGCCCAACTATTTGCACTTTAGTTAGCTACCAGAAGCGAAGGAATACCCTAGGGCCAGTTCAGAAAGGCTTGCTCAGCTGATTGAAGATCAATTGTGGTAAAACAACTCAGTGCATCCATCATGTTTGCAAAAGAAAGCCTAATCAGCACCATATTTCAATAGCAATTAGTCAGGTTTTGCCGTTGTATTCTCCCCTAGATGACTTTATGCTAAGTGTTGTTGAAAGGCTTGACTTAGCAGAGGCTGTACGTGTTGAAACAAATACGATGGATGGAAACTTGCCTCAAGAATCTGCTGCTCGTTAGCTGACTTCTGAAGAGCAACTTTAACCCCTCAAGCATCATGCTGATGACTTGGCTACTTTGATTTTTTTTTTTTTTTTTTTAAATAACAGTTTAACCAGAACTCTTTAAGAGTTTAAACAGCATACTGATAGTTTGTTGCATATAAGAATGTGGAAGAGAAAGTTGTGAATCTTTGTGCGAAGCTGGGAATTCGTAGATTGTGCTGTGAGTGACAGCTCAGCCTCTACACGGAATTCGGAGCATCTTTGCCATGTTATAAAAAGCTGGTTGCCTGGTGCTGAGCTGTTCCTCCAATGCAGAGCATTTTGTAACCTTTAAACTCTGAGTGTAGAATAGGAATTTACCCTGGTAAAACCTGCATTTGTTTGAAGAGTTAGCTGCTACCTAGTCACCAATGTCCTGCATCTCTAGATCCGAGCCATTTAAATACCAAGGTGTGTGTCACTAAACCTACTGGGTAGGTAGGTTTTTACTTTAATCTCTGGGAGATTTGTCTGAATACTTGTGAGATGAAGAGCATCTAGCTTCAGCTTTATCTTAAGTGATGTTTTTTACATTGTATCTGATGTCAATTTTACAGGCTTGCTCTTTGGGGAGCAGTGGGGAAAAGTCCTTACTAAAGTTTTATCTAAACAAAATAGGCTAGATCACCTGGGCTGGTGGAAGATGTCCTTGCTCATGGCAGGGGGGTTGGAACCAGATGATCTTTAAGGTCCCTTCCAACCCTTACCATTCTAGGATTCTATAATACTACAACATGTACTGGGTATATGGAATATTTAAAAAATAAATGCTTGATGATGAAGTAGGTTGCATAGAGGAGTCTGAAGGCTTCAATGCTGAGGTAAGGAAGAAGTCTTCTGATTTGTCTAGGTAGGTTTGCCCTAATGCCAAGCCTCACTGAATTTTCGAAGGGAGAAGCAGCAGAAATTTCTTTGTGTAAAACGTTAGGCTTGAATTATCCTTTCGGAGTATTTTGAGGTAGCTTGGTGTGAAATTTTCACAGAAATGTTGCTCATACTGAGCTGGTGGGTTGGGGGTTAAGGTTGGTTAAGTTCATAACAACTCAAATGTGGTTCTTTCTCTTCCTTCCAGTATTTTAACTCCTTGTCACAAGTGATGCAGCCTTCCTCGCAGGCAGGTTTGAGGTAGAAATCTGCAGTGTAACCTGTGTTTCAGTGTTGCTTCAGCCCATTGCATCTTCTGAGTTTAACTTGCAGCCTTAGTGCCGTCTTCAGCATGACTAGGCTGATGCACTCTAAAGGGGGATTTTTTAATACAAAACTTCTAGACCAAGGTTGCTGCAAGCAAAGCATTTCACAAGTGCTTCTGCAGTGCTTTGTCTGCTGGAGGTGAGACAGTCCCTGTCCTGAAATAAAGTTGCTGCTTACAACAGCCTTCGCTTGGCGGAGGGCTGCTGGTGGGCTGTAGCCTAGGACAGCTGTGGAGCGATAGGGCTGCTCCGCTGGTCCTGTGAGTCTGGAGCGAAGAATGCCGGCTGCCTGACGGCACGGCGTTGGGCTGGCCTTCTGGTGCAGGAAGGCCTGGATACTGAAGGGGTAACAATTACTACTGGCTTCAAATGATCCCTCAGAGATGCAACTCCCGCAGCTGTGCTGATCCCAAAGTGAATTGGTCGCCTGCGGAACACGCAGCTCTCCTCGGGTTTGCCTGCACCGCTGGCTGGCAGTGGGCTCTGTACCCGTCTGCTGCTTGGCTGGTACCCCAGGTTTACGCAGGAGGTGGAAG